CAAAGCACACAAGAGAGAGAAATATAAATTTGCACAGCGCTCTAGATCGGGTACGGGAGAGCCATCTACCGCACAGATTACACACTAATGTCGACATAATCCGGTACTATGTCATTACCGGAGCTCATCTCGATATATACAGCCCCGGAACCGTGAACGATGTTTACTTTTTCATTAATTTATTGTCGTTTTTCCCGGTCGTATAACGACGTCGTAAAGACCGGATGAGAGTATATTTTTATATGACACTCGAGGCCGGTGTTGCGCGATTCAAGCGGTTGCTTCATTTGGAACGAAATCATTGTGAGCTTGTGATTCAGAACTAAGATGAAAGTGGTGTTTCCTTCCTGATGGATGGAAGACTGTTCGAGGTCAACCTATGCCCAAAAACAAGCAAAGTCTTACATGCAACTACAGACCAATTATTTCACTATCAGTGATATCGAAAATTCTAAAAAAACATATTGAAATGTTGAAATTGAAAACACGGCAGTCAATTCGAGTGAGTGAACAAAGCACACACGCCGAACCGCTTGGCTACCGACCGACCGACCGAACATAATCAGAGAATATCTTATGATCCGACAAGCCATAGCATCAAAGTTTGACCAGCAAACCCTAATGCCAAACACGGTCAAAGGGCTTAGAAATATCAAGCGCAACAGCTCTTGATTCTCCATGTTTCTCGATTGTGTTATTGCAAATATAGGTGACATACGATAATAGAAGGTCACCTGCTGACCTTTGTTTCCGATGATAAAATTAAGATGCATTTTCTACATTTGGAAAAATACTATGTTTTTTTTCTGAGAGTTTTGTGTGGATCGCCAGGTTATCATTGAAGTACCAATGGGGAATGTTCCTCAATTTGGGTTATTACAGCAAATGCTAGTTTGAACAAAATAAAGTTGAGTTTAATTCATGAGTTTTTCAAATTCACTTCGAAAAATATTCAAATTGATGTTTCAAATGTTGGGTTTTAATTTTTAAAGGGATTTGTTTCTAATTCACTAATTGGCAACAGCGCCTATATCAAGTTGAAATAATTTATACGTGCCTAGATATTCTACTTAAAAAAAATAAAATTATCTTTATAAATCAACAATTAAGGCAAAATATAAATTATAGTTCAATACCACCTCCACAAGCCACACAAACAACAGTTGTTTTGTTATTTATTTATATAGAGGAAGATAAGTGTGTCATATGTCACAGAATGTCTCGGAACTCGGAACATAAGTAAGCAGAACAGCACGCCTCTGAAATATGTCATCTTTGTTTGTGTCATACAGGTAACAGATTCATTGTCCTTTATTAGCTATAACCGATGTTGACAAATGGTGAAATAGAAACGACTCCCTTTAAATGTTGAATGCATTATTTCATTCTCATTCTCTTTTTTAAATATTTAAATATTTTTTCAAAGAAAAAGGTTGAAATGATAAGTTTAAAATGCGCTGTTTCAGAGCTCTTTTATGAAAACTACTTGATTTTCATCAGGAGGAACATTCCCCGTTATGGGTACATACGGTTTTTATTATGAGAAAATGTGATTTTTTGTGTGGTGAACTTGTAGATAGACAACCCTACGAGCTACATACTATTGGTCAAAGAGTGTCAACTTCCACAGCTGGAAATAACTGTGTCAAAGCTATTGCCCTAGTTTGCTGGTTGTTATGTCTGACCTTTCGTCCATGACTACGGTACACCTTAGAAAATGCGATGTGACAACGGACAAAGTGCTCTATTATGTTTGTACAATCCCTGATAATTTAATATTACATAAATGTGGAGAAAGAGGTCGTAGATGCCAATATAATACTTTTCAATACGCTCTGAAAGAATATAAATACACGGATTTCAACCTGAAGAATTATATTTTTCATTTACTGGATATTATTTCGAAAAAATTTTTTTTATCTATTTAGAATAATTTCATTCATTCTATTTAATTGTAACTGAAGTTGTACCAAAGTATACGATATTTAATTCTTGATAGTTTTCGATTTTTTTTTTTATTTTTAGTATCAGACTATTCACCTATAGATTATGCATTAAATATTTAGAAATAAAATCTATAGATGTAAGTTACCAGTGAATATTGCCCTGGAAATTTATATCTCAAATTCATAATAAGATATTACATGTAAACATTACATTTCATACTGAAAAAATACAGTGAATGCATAAAACTACATACTTAATAAAATGATACCTTGTTTTTCAATTTGTTGGTATGTAATACTTCACATATGACTTGTAACATCAATATGTGATTTCTCAAAATTTGAAACATTCACAAATCATTCTGTGAATTTACGATATACTTTACGTAGGTCACCAATTGCCAACGTTTTGTTATGTGATTATGAAAGCATATTTTCTGCCCTGTGTGCTGTGTAACGAGTATATTTTAGCGAATCTGAAGCCGCCCCTGACCAGTACGCTGGCCGAATCATGGAACAAACACATGACCTCACCGCCAAAGAATGCAGTCGAAAATCGCCGGTAAAATTCTAGTACCGAACCGACTACAAAATTCTAGAAAGGACGTTACCGATATATGCACGTCTTCCCGACCCAAGAGGGCAGTTCAGAAAGTGAATCGAGCGACTAAACAATAAATAAAATAAAATAGCGGAAATAAATTAAGCGTTAGTTGCTAAGTGTTGTAATAAATAAATTAGTTTGTAATTAGTGAAATATTGTTGAAAATAAATGTGTTTAAGACAGTTACTTCTTAAGTATGTCACAATATACAAAGACAACAATACAAAACACTATTTTTACTTCAAACGTGAAAAATTCAAATTCGCTCGATCTACAACAAATATCAGTTCGATATATAATTCAATTCTGTATTCAAAGAATGTGCTCAGCCTTGCCTTTTCAATGTCGGTGGCGGTAGCTGTCATTTTTAGTGCCGTCGACCCTAAAAATAGAACCGTTATCATGGTGATTGATGATCATTTGAATTTGATAGGTGATACTTGGGTGGACAACTTTAGTAATTTTCGTCGTATTTTCGTCGTGCGAGGAAAAAATTCATAGTTTTTCGTGCATTGAATACGGGATTGAATATGAAATATAAAAAGTACAGTTTTTTCTACAGGGGACTTAATTTTCAAAACAGGTGAACTCTCACATCAACAGAAAAATCGGATGCCTCTCTCTATTTTACTTGTAACTCTCGATGTGAGACCACCAGATTTGAAAGTAAGGCCCCAGCAGATTTACATAACATAACCAATTTCAATAGTCAAATGTTATTTTTAACTAGCATCGCCATCTCTCGGCATTAATTCGAAATACAACTGAGACTCTTGTTTCCACCTTTAAAGGTTCTACCAAAGAACAGAGATCTACTCTCACATCAGTCTTTTATAGGGTTAGTAAACTTCATGTGGGATGGAAAATATTGAAAACTAAAATAAATGGGAATGACTTTTAATCGAAATTGTTTCAAGTATGTTTTAACTGTTGTAGATAAACGAATTAAATCAAATTACCTAAAAGAACAATTCGTTCCTGAAAGCAGGAACCTTTAAAAAAACGTTAAAATTACCTAAAAGAACAATTGTTTTTTTAGGTAATTTTAAAGCTTGACTTTTCGACAGACTGAAATAGTGGCCTTTGCTTACCATGGGTAAAATAGATTTGAGTTGTGCTATTAATCCAATAGATTGTTACTATTATGTATTATTACATAAAAACATTTTTTGTTCCATTATCATTTCTTATTACTTTTAAGTATGAAACATAAATGAACTAGATATTCTACTTGAAAATATGAATGAATGAATATGAATGGAAATAGTGACATCTACAATTTATAAAAGTATGTATTCCTTGTTCAAGCAATGAAAACTCACACAGTAGATTATACGATACGTTAGGTCAACAGTGAGTGGGTCAAAATCAACCCTCCACCGCAATAGTAGATTATACCAAGTGATCGAATAGTACATTTGTAACTAATTAATTTCAGAAAATAAATATAAAAAGCAAAACAAAATTCAAGATAATGAGTATGCATTCAAAAATAATATTTACCATCTCTTTCGGCTGAAATACATGACAATTCTGCTGTTACAACACCAGCAACATTGTCTTCTGATACCCCTTGAAATAAAAACTGCAATGGAGGAATTCGGAAAGAAGTACCAGTTTAATGTCATCAAAAACTTCAAAAAGTAAAACATTTTACTGAGTTTTTCATAATATTCTATGTGCTAGAATGGTATATTCATGGTTCTGGTGTAATTATAAAAAAGTATTCATGAGATTTATTCATGTATATCAAGTTGACACAGTAGTTTGGAGTTGTACATTTCCTAATTTCCTTTACAGCATTGAAAGCTTTGATTAGTCCATAAATATCGCTCTACATAGTTGGCATTTTCCTTATCTGAATCATCATAAATAGTTTTATTGAAATAATAAATAGCATCTTGTGTAAATATTTGTTAAAACTGAATAGTCTATTGGCGATATTCAAAAAAAACATTGTTTTCCAAGTAACCCATTATCATGAGATTTTTCTATAACAGTTTACAAAACCACAATAAGTGATTTGCTATACAACAGCTTCCTCAAGTGTTTTCATATGTATAACGAAACACGTAGCGGTTTTGTAAGCTGTGAAAAGAATATCTCACAATGAAGTGTTACTTGATTAAGTTTGGGATTTTTATCAAGTATTGACCAAATCTATCACATTTTCATTCTGTACCTAATCACAAATATTCTCAAAAATAAATTACTAAAAATATTGTAAATGAAAAGCTTTTTTATCAATGAGTTCAATATAGAACTTACTTAATAAGTTGCCTCAGCAGATCACATATAAAACAATCAACATTTCATATATTTGTGAAGGGACCTATTTATTTCCTTTTTTAAAATCTTCTTTATTTAATAACAACAGGACTTCCTGTCACAATTACCTTAAAACTGGCATGGAACATTATAAAAAACAGCATGACAAACTACTAACTCACCAAACTCAATTGCTTCTCTTCAATCATATGTTTCACCCGAGCTATAAGCGCATCTTCTCTAACTCGAGCTGCATCTCTCACCTCCCTTATAACATCGGCTAGCTTTCCCGGTTCATAATCTCGATTATACTGCCTCATTTGCTGCTGCTTCATCATATTCAGCTCTATTCTCAACTCTGTCACTTCTCTAGACAATCTTCTGTTACTGTCCTTCAACAAATTAACTTGATGGGTGAGTTTATGTATAACTCTCTCGTCCAGTGAATTGGTGCTGGAGTCACTTTCGTTTGGCAAGCCCGGATCAGAGAAACGCCTTTTACCTGTATCTTCATTCTGTTCCATATTCACCAGAGGAAGACTGAGATACTCAGCTGCATCACCATTCATTTGAGGTACGGATAGGTTGTTCGGAGTGCTAAGATTGCCCACGAAATTCATATTTGGATTTGGGTAATTAGGTGGGTAGATGGGCAAGGACATGGTCTCGGAAGAGTTCGAGCAGTTTATGAAGGAGTAGTAGGTGGAAACATCTGGAATGCTGAGGTTATGGTATGGGTGAGAAGTGACAGGAAAATAGTTGCAGTTTGACATGGTATTCAAATCGAAATTGTTTGAAGGTAGTTTCTTCTCTCGATTCTTCTTACGTTTAACTACACTGGGAGGGTTTCCGTTAATCCCATTTGTTTCTGGGGACATTTTCTGAATATTGAGTTTTGAGAAACCTTATATATTTACTTCAGATAGGTTAATTATCATTAATGCGAAGATACTGTTTGAAGTGACAGAATTGTATTACATGTTAAATAACTCAGATAAGATGAACAAAATCATACTTATGGAAAAAAATTACTTTGTAAACATTATAAAAAGAGAAAGTGATAATAATATTTATTTTGTTTGATTGACATCTGACATGTGCCATGGAGAACTGTGAACTGTGCTGTATTCTGCGACCTCTGTAAGAAAAGACCGAACTATCGTAAAAAAATCTATAGCAATAATGAATTGAATATTTTTTCAAACGTTTATTTTCTGAATATCTGAAGTGCTTTACACAAAATTTTATTTTGGCTGCATTCATTAGTCTTCAAGCGAAGAACATAAATGTCGCATTGTAACATTTGGCAGTTTAGCATGAAACTGACAGATGACAGTTCCTTAAGTTCATGTTTGAAATCTCCTTTCAAATTTCTGAGAAGCTGCTTTTGCTTTGCCAGTAATCTAATTGTTGTCAAGCCACATTATTAAACAATATTATTAAACAATATTATTAAACAATATTATTAAACATTATTATTCCATGATGCGGACAGTGTCGTGTCCCTGGATAAAATGTTATTTCTATTCACTGGTAGATGGCATGAACTACCAAAATTTCACTAACTAAACATTTTAATAAAAATGAATTCATCTTTCATGTTGATAATGATAATGTACTTACTTCTAGTAATGAACAATCCACTTACAGGGCAAGAGAACCACAATTTCGTCATTTTGAAAAATCCTTTTGACCACAAAATTCTCATTGTCAAGAAAAACATACCATCGAAATCAAATTAAATACTTCAAAATGCCACCATAGTCTATATACAAAGGAAATACAATTACATCTTTACTTCAATATATAAATTTGGTCATGAAGAGTACTAGAGCATACGTAGATTTTCAGCACATTATTTCAAAGAATGTTTTGTGATGGAAAAACATCATTACAAGGCAAGCGACATCTAGATACTGTAATTCGAACATCAAGCATAAGGAAAACACCAGTAACAGGTAACAGGGATGTATTTTTTCAATCTTTCGAATAAATAATGTGGTCTCCTAAGATATTTCCGACAGTGAGAGAAATTTCTCTCTTTTTTTTTCGAAATATTCAATTCAAAATAGCATACAATTTGAACTCGATTTGACCTTGAACTTCAATAACTTCCCCAAACGCTGACGCCTCTCATGGTTATCTTATGAACATTCAGAAAAAATATGACAACAATAATAAAATAATTGACTCCAGTAATCATGGACCATCACTAATAAATAAAATATTTCAGATTTCTATGGCTTGATCTTGATCAACAACAATAATATAAACAGTTGTCAAAAAGCATCTGATTGAGGAGGTAAAAACCGAATCACTGAGAGAGCTCAAGGACATACCAAAAAGTGCATATCAGAATTGCTTTGAAGATTGAAAAAACCCTGGCACAAATGTGTTCTATCTGACAGGGAAAAAAGCTGAGAGAACCTGACAAAAAATATATCAGTCAGACTCAGCAAGTCATTGAAATGCGTTTCAAAGAACACTCCTTGGAGAAGAGTTTTAATTTATAAAATAAAAATTATGAATAAAATATATTATTATTCTGAAATAAATAAAAACTGTCTAAGATTTTTGAGATCCGTAAAGGACACAAAATTTTTGGATACTTTGGAAGGCCTGAAAATAGCAAAATGTATCATGAGAACTATGAACAGTGACAAAGGTTCCATTCCAAGTGGTCCGATATTTACTTGCATATGTATTGCTCTGTTGGAACTAGCGAGACTTTCACGAGAAAATTTACCGCGAATTTCTACACGAAATCATTGATATTTTGTGTCTGAAAGTGTAACTTGTTAGATACAAATAGATGTCCTGTTTAGAGTTGGAAATTGTTGTACTTCATCTTCTGAAGAAGGTTGGTTGATGAAAATGGCTTTTATAAGAGTGTTGCAGTTCTGGTGTTTGACAACAGTGCTCGTTTGGAATCTATTCTATGACAGAGGTTGCAGTTCTACCTTCAATTACGGAATGTATGTTCGCATAACATTAAAAAAAATTAAAGTAATTGTTTCACTGTATGAGATGAAGTTCAATAAAAAAATTAAAGTGCATTATGTATCCTTGTAGTTTGAGTAATACTTAATGATGCTTGCAGTGTAATTTAATCAACTCTTTTGGTTGATAAAAACTTACTTCACGCTGAAATGAAAAATTAGTTGAACTATATATGAATTCAAATGTTTCATTATTTCCTGTCGAGATCTAAGCTACCATGATTAATAGCTTTTCACGTTCCAATATTACAAACGACTTTTTCACATTCCTTAATGACAAAAAACAAATTTTTTTGTTTTCCTCTTAAATGGCCAACCTGTATACTTGGAAGTTACCTCCAAATTCTACATTCGAAAGCTGTGTATTGTACCAAAAAAAAGGAGATTCACAAAAAACACTTCCCAAACAAATACAATTTATTGCTGTCCAAATTCCCATCTTATTCCAATTTTATAAAATTCATGAACAATATTACCTTACTAATACACAAACATTTATCAATAACATTGAAATTATGTGACATTCATTTTGTAAAAATAATTATACAAGATTTTCACCAATATAGCACATTTGATTCGTATAAAAGTTAAAACTACACTTATCTAAATAAATGCAGATCATTTATTATTCATCTAATTTGCATAAATATGATTATAAGATTTGCAAAAATATCCATTTTTGAAAAATTGTGAAACTTTTGAGACATAACCCAGGAATTATGAACGACAACCTTGCAATTGAAATTGAAACTATTAAATAGTATGATATATGAAAAGGTATATGTATATATATTTTTATTATCTTCCATACTATACTTAGTAATTAGATTAGTATATGAATATGAGCCTTATCTAAATATGGCAGTTTTCTACATTTTCTCTGTTCATGATAAAAAACTACTGATAAAATATAAAAAGATATCGAAGTTGCACTAAGAAACATGACGTTTTGTGTACAGTTAAAAATCGAAAGCTCAATTAGTCAAATTTGAGCTGAAAAAACAAATTCTTATTCGTAACATTCACAAATCACCAAATTTCTTAAACTTCCACTAAAATATACTTTATTCTGATATACAACAATTCTAGGCCACATGTTAATATGCAAACCAATTTATCACTACTTTTAATAGCAGAAAGAGAGCTTGAAAATTCAAGATATGTTTAGTTGGCCTCTGAGGAAAAAAGTTTGTGGACTGCAATGCATTCCTTTTAAAATCTGAAACAGTGAATAGACATAACAGAGAAGAAACTGTCAAACATTCCCGAAGCTTACTCTGTGGTCTCAAAACATTTTTGCCCCAGAGATCATCAGGTTAATCAAAACTAAGTAAAATTAAAACGACAATAAAATATGATAAATGGCGTTTGAAGAATGAATATCAGTTGTTGCGAGTAAGATTGCCAGAGAATCAAGTGAGGTCTGCGAATGAAACTAATGAAATAACTAGTATTTTTCAATACTTGGCGAATATACAGGGTGACAAACAAAAGTGCTTCCTCTTCCGTTTCAAATCTGAAAACCTTGGCTAGGTACTTTTGATCAGACTGTTTCTATTAGGATGTTTTTTCCTCAAAATTTTGTCAACATTGATAAATATTTTCAGATCATGGAACAAATTTTTGACAACTAGAAGCACTTTGGGTTTGTATTCATGAATTTATTTAATCAGCATTTTATGTGTCAAAAAAACTTAAAATAATTAAAATGAACTTGTGAAATTTTCATCTTTATGAGATAAAAACAATACAGCTTCTCCTGAGAAGCAATATTATCGGTCATATCCTTCCTTCTTGTTATTTGAATGGTCCTCATGCTGTCTTCATGGAAGCACATAAAATTCAAAAAATAGATTTGGCTAGAATTCAAAAATAATTCCAGTATACAGGTTGAAAGCCTTTTGAAAATGATGAAAACCATAGCGAAAAATGACTTTATGTTGCATTCTCATGTTCATTGAATTGAATTTTCACAATATTTGGAGTAAGAACCATGAAGTAAGAAGTTATATACAATACCCTATATACAGATTATTACCATTCATGAAAAAAGTAGATAATTCTAAAGAAAGTATTTGGTAAAAGTGAGCATTATAAAATTCATCAAGGTACTTAGTAAACAAAAAAATATATCTGAAACAGCATTCAAATGTCTTTTTATTATCCTTCTCATATGCAAACATTCTAGGTACGAATCCTAATTTCAAAACATTTCAAATCTGTTTGTAGACTACCTGAACAGAAAATGACACACCAGCAATTCTCCATTAGTTTTTAACCATTCCATTCTCACTTTTTTAATAATATTATAACCCAATTCTTAAGAATATGAAAGGGAGGAAGTTCCTAGGACAGCTGGATTATGTGAAGGTATTCATAAAAACCATTCAATACATTTCAAATTCCATTGGATTTTTTCTTATTCTTCTGCTGTTATAACATACAGAAACTTTTTGAAATGTTCTTTTTATTTTTCGTGTTTCAAACGAAAACTGTACAAAACAAGTTTATATTTATTTTTGTAACAAAAACCCAGCTTTAGAAAACTTCATCGTGTGAAAGGTTGACATGTAAATACCTGAACTCTTAAAAGTAACCGGTGAGAAATGAATAACCTGTAATAGATTATTTCTCTAATAGCTAATATATTTTCACAAGGTAACTGACAATAACGAATTAATATTAAATTAAATTCTTTGCAGTGATTTTCAGAAACTTCTATCTGTTCGAAAATTATGATCAATAAAGAAATGTTTTGGCTTTCTACTTCTCCATCTTTACACAAATTCTCCATCTTTATACAAAAAAAATATGGGAATTTTTCAAAGAATATACCACTTTCAGTTTATGATCAATAAGTTGTTCTCTTCTCTTGAGAATAGGAGAAAACAGCTTATTTAACAATAATAATAATGCAAATTACAGAATAAATCCATTGTATATTAAAAATTGAATAAGACGTTTTTAAATTCCATAATTTCTGTTAAATACTAGACGATCCCAGTGGCAAAGTAATACTAGGCCAGATCATGAATACAACGTTTTTATTGAGAACAATTCTTAGTAATACATGACAACTTCTCTTGGAAAAAAGTCATCTGTTAGGAAATTTGCAAACCCAAACTTTCTCGTTAACTGCCAAATGAGAAATCGCTTTCTCTTGTTCTCAACAACTTTCAATGCAATATATACTAAGAAGAAATGTAAAAAATTTTTTTATTTGTTTACATTTTTGTTGATTCTTTGAGAGATATTCATATTAACTGGCAGAAATCTGAACAGATATTTGGTAGTAAAACAATTTACGAAATGTGAGTTCAACTCACATGTTATATTTACCAAAGAAAAATTGTTTGATATGTGACCTTGTTTATTCATTATTCATTGGACATGTTGCATTTAATTTTTCAGAATGTGGGAGCTCAGGTATTGTGAAGTCAAACTTTTAGGTAATTTGGAGACATATACAACTATGGCTCAAGTAGTAGTATCTTGAGGTTTTATTAATATCGTGAAGCTGTGAAAAGCAAAAAACCTGGTTCAACAATGCATAAGTCAAGTGTGATTGTTAATATCAATGTAGTTAATTCAATTTCTCGAATGTGTTTAAAGTTAAATAAAAACGCAGTAAAAGTTCAAATTGTATTTGAAAATATTTATTCATTCATGTCGAAGTCAGTTACAAACATTCGACTGCCACAATTTAGGAAAAACCCATTATGAAAGTTTTCAAATGCATAATCGTGGGATTAGCCAAAAATTGAGAGTTGATGATGAAAGGATTATTCCATTCTCGAGACATGGTGAAACACGTCAAAAATAATGGAATGATGACATGTGAAAAAAATTTCTCCTTTTTTTTATAGTATAAGTCTTGAAGTGTTGTGTATTTTATTTAATACAGAGTTAGAATCCGTTAATTACATGATTTGTTGTATGAGTTTGAATGTTACAATGCAAATCAGTAACCACCATCAATATTAAACAATTACTTGCATGTTTTTATATCATTTTATCATTGAAACCTCATCCCGGTTTTTTAGTTCAAGATGTGAATTGTTTAAAATGTAAAAGTCAACTGAAAATCACCAAGTAAAGGTGATGACATCTCCCGTTAAGAAAACGCCATTTATGGCATTATTCTCTTTCTAATTATTGTGAAATAGTTTTGGGACAAAATATAAAAGTTACTTTTCTGTTATACTATATCATACTTCCGACACTTTTTCCTTTATCGTTATTATAAAGTGAATGTCCTGCTTTGATTGTACAACCGGGTGTAAAATAACAACCTGAATCAAGATACACCTACCCAAGCCTCACCATTGTTTACCCCCTTTCAAACAACAACTTTGACATTCTCAACAGTGACACTTTTCCCCTTAACAATAATAAGTGGTATTTCAAACTCTCGTGCAACTGTCTCTTTAGCCGCAAGATCTAGCTAAATCGACGCTGTGTTTGCTTCCAGAGCTGTCAGAAGATCTTGTCCTTGGAGAAGGACGCTACCGACGGGCGCATTCACTTCGTAGTCCTGCTGATTGAGGTCCATAAGCGATGCCAAGGACGACGCTTCAGGTTCCAGTAAGCTGACGGAATTCTTGCGAAGGAGTTGTCGACGACTGTCATCATTGTCCAACAGGCTTTTCTTTTTTTCTTCGAAGCTGAAAGGGTCCAGAGAGGTCCCGAACACCAACAATGATCTGGTAGTAGCATCGTCCTGAAATGTTGAAAATTGTGTTTTAGTTTGTCATTCAACAGGCACCTGGTATAATTCCAAAGTAACCCGTTAGGTTCTAAATATCAATTGAAACCCTGTGAATGCCTAAGATATGCTTAAACTTTTGAAAAAAAGATGAGAATGTAACAGAAGGGTCCACGCAATATTTAATCATTTCTAAAGTGCCTTTGACACTATGGAGAGAAACAGAACAATTGAAGCATTAAAGAATCTCCAAATATCGGGAAAAGTGAAAAAACTAACAAAAATAACAAGGGCCAAAAAAGAGTGGAATTTCCTGTGGGTTGGGCTACCTATCGGGCGCGTCCCCAGGTGGCGGATTGGGGAACGGCCAGACTGGAGGCCCTGTCCGGGAAGGCAATGTGGCCTTACGGACGGGGTCGCCGGATTCCTGGTCAGTGGCAGAAATAAGTAGTACGAGGGAAACTAAAACCCTCCAAAAGCCTTTGCAAACCATGCCACCGTGGACCAGCCTTCCCAAGCTAAGGTGTAAGGAATCGTGCCGACAGCTGAATGGCCGCAGGGTGATATTCGGTCACGAACGAACGATTGGGCGAAACCTCATTGTAATCAGCCTACCTCTGGTAATGCGGGGCTCTGCCAGAGGTGACCAACTCTTTCCTTGCTACGCGTGGGAACACACATGAATGAAACAACAAAAACGGAAACTAATCCCGAGCTGGACAGAAGTGCTCACCTAAATCTAAGGCGGTGGTTGGGGATGAACAGAAATGTCCACCCCAATCTACCGCTTGGAATGAGGCTGGACATAGCAGATTACCTCCAACAGCAAAGATACTTCCTGCGGCGGGCGCCAAGAGCTCCGCCTTGAATAAAGGCAAGGAACCGGCTGACCCTGCAGGAAAGCTCCCTCACTTGTGCACCTCCATGGAGGAAAGGTTGAAGAAGCCGCGCAACGACAGTAATATCGCTGCACCTTCCAAAACCATCGCGGATGCCACCGTGTGAGACACCTTATGGTTGCCAAAGAGAGTGTGTTCGGCGAGTCTTGGCCTACACCTGGAGATGGAGATGTCTCCTAGTGACCTGTTCACCTTCCTGGAAAAGAAAGGATGGACGATGACCTAGGAGGACAACTCCTCGGGAGGATGTAAAATGGGTCACGTGGCCTAAGTGCTGTAAGTTTACACTCACCCTCCCTACTCTACAGATACCAGAGAAGAGTGGAATTTCAAGGAAAAATAACAAAAGATCAACGCGAATCAAGGATTAAAGCAAGGAGATCCTTTGTTCTCAACACTGTTCTACCTAGTACTAGAGAACAGATACTAAAAACGAATATCTGTTTAAAAATCTGTTTTTCCGTTAACCAGCTGTCGCACCCCTACGAACGACAACCCTCAGAAGTCGAACTTGTACGGGCTAAGGATTAACGAGGTCTTATCTTTTAACGTGTGATTCCTAACACGGGTTGGACGATAGCAAGTGAAGATCGATCGTTCAGACTAGGGCTTGAACCACCGACCAACACGGCAGTCAATTCGAGTGAGTGAACAAAGCACCCACGCCGAACTGCTTGGCTACCGACCGACCGGTATGAAGCCAAGAAACATATTTCAACAACATCCAAATAATTGTGTTTGCAGACAATATAGTAGTAAAAGGAGAAAACGAAAATCGATATGATCAAGAAAATCAAATAACTATACATGCTGAAGCAAAGAAATATGGAGTACGCATATAAATAAAAGACAAAATATATGGAAGTGAAAAACAAGAAAACAAAAAGGGACATCTAAAAACTGACAATAATTGAATAGAACTGGCCGATACTTTATGAAAATCCATATCAGAACTCATTAATACAGTTTATTGTATGCTTTTCACTATAAAGGGTTTTACAAAAACCGCGACCCGTGTTTCTATACAATAGCTTTCTCAAGCGTTAATAATTAACGCATTATAGTGAAAATCATACAATAAACTCTATTGATGAGTTTTAAAAACTGACAACCTCAAATTGAAAATTAAAGCTTTCAACTTGAGAGTAACTACTGGAAAAACTGAAAAACAATTTAAGAAAGAATTACCACAGAAAAGCAAGTAGAAATATGTTAAAAAGAAAAAACTCCAAACCAAAGGACAAAAATTAAGAAATACAAAATGTCAATATGGACAATCATAATATAGAAACAACCGTGGTGAATAGAGAAGAGGGACAATACTTAGGAAGAGTAAAAAAATAATGAGAATAGTTCTAATACCTGATTCCACTCCAGGAGGTGAGAAAAGAAGAAAAAGTAATGAAAACATAACAAAGGAGATATGGTATGAAAATGTAGTTGGAGTAATCAAATTGCAGTGGTAAGAATGGATAGGAGACATTATGAATTCATCAACGGAGATATTTGGAAATGTAACAAGATGGACACCAATTCAACAAAGGTGTCGAGAATATACCACATCTTGGTAAATAAGGAACACATTACCCAATTTTAAATCACCCAAATTTCATCAATCATGGCAGCTAGATCAGGAAGTGATCACCAAAATTTTTCCGAAAGGTTGTCCGTCATAAAGTCTCAAAAACACTACTGTGTTACTGTAGAAGATGAAAAAATCAAGTCCATTCAGATAAGAAAACGTAACTTTCAGATTGATAGCATTAACTTATATACTACTTCTGGTGAGAAATAAAATTTCTTCAGAACTTTTCAGTTTGCCAATTTCAAGGTGGAAATGGCCAGAATATTTATGCAACATATGCGTTGAGACTTAACATAAGAGACATGCAGACATAAAAAAGACTAGCTCAAGTTTCATACCAGCCTCAACAAAAAATAAACATCCGTATCATTATTGAAATATTGCCACTTGATAAGCACTAATTCAACTGAATTAGTCACAGGGTTTGATAGTAGTTTATTGGGTGATCTATTTCTACTGGTGACCAGAATAAGTTCATTATAAGAATAATCTAATAAAAAATTTGAATTATGGTCCATTTTGTTGATCACTTGCAAAGAGGTATAATATTCATTGAGCTCAATTAATCACAATGTATAAAACTGTCTTGTGAATGATCCATACAATTTCTGAATATCAATATCAGACAAGATTTTGATAAATTATCATATTCCAATAACGAGTTCTGAATACGTTACTCAATTTCTGTAAAGACTAAAAGAAAACCATAACTTATCATTCTTTTTTCATTTTGCCAGAAATTTCATGATAACATTGAATCTACATTTATGTTCGCACCTGCAACCAAATATATGTGATGTATATGTTGTCATTTGAAAATAGATATACAAAAATCAGAAAACACATTTTGAAACTATCCCATAGATGGCGTCTTCGTAAGTGGAGAAATCCCGTGCTTACTTTCCCACATTTTTTTGAATTGGAGGAGTAGAACACAGAAACCTTCTTCAGTTGAAAAAATATATTATCCAGTCATTTTCCTCATTATCTCTGAACTAACGAGGGCATAGAGTTGGTTTCAATTTCCAGGAAACACAAAAGTTGTAAAACTCATTGCCCATATTGATTTTTCACAACTTTTGGACAGCGTTCCATAATATTTTTAGCAATGTTTTCCATTGGGAATCATGTATCCCAATCTCTACTATTAGGTTGTTTCAAAGTTGTGTCCGTTCTTATGAGTCTCCTTTAAAACTGTGATGTCTCAGTGAATACTTATTCAAATTAATCGAAATGAGCGCCATTTGAATCAGTGCACTTTTGCCAATGTAACACGAGTCGATAATTCCCGTCAGCATAAAAACTGGGTGTTTGGGATTCGATGAAGTGACGAAGGCCGTTTTTGCCTGGTCCTGAGGTGAGCAAGTTATCGAGGTGTTTGAAAAGATAGTAGTCGGCTGGTGAGAGCTCTGTAGAGTAAGGTGGGTGAGGCAGCGCCGGCTGCTGCTGACGCAATTTTCGGTACCTTTCGTCGATTTGCAATTTTCGGTACCTTTCGTCGATTTTCTCTCAACAGGAATTTGCTGTGATGGTTTGGCCCGGTTGCAGAAAGTTATAGTGAATCACACCAGCCGCTGACCACCATATAGTAACCATGGTATTTTTTGGTGGGCTTTTGCCATGATAATCATCACCACTGTCCTGAACGTGTTCTGTTGTCATAGAGTACCTATCCACTTTTCATCACACGTGACGATCCAACAAAAAAAAAAGATCGTTTTGGTTGCGCAATGAAGAACAGACCTTGAAACATGACAATTTCTGTCAATCGTTCAAATCGTGGGACACCTATTTTTAGAGCTTTTTGACTTTTCCAATACGTTTTAAACCAACAAAAACCGCATGGGAGCTGACGCCCAGTTCTTCCGCCATCCCACGCACAGTTTATGATTGGTCAGTTTTCACTAGGGTCCTTGTCCTGGAATACTGAAGGTTGACTACTTGGGGGCCCATCTTCGAGGCTAAAATCTCCGGAACAAAATTTCGCAAACCAACGTCGAACATTGCGTTCATTAACACTATCATTGTCAACTTGCTGGTCTTCTTGATTCAATTTGAATTCGCAAAGAGAAATTGGCTGAAAACTGGTTCAACTACATCATATGGTAATAGGCTGAAAAGAGGCAGAAAATTAAAATTTGGAAAAAAATAAACAATATCAATGTAAAATATATACCTCGACACAGGAGAATATTTGTTAGAATATGGAGCTACAAAAAAATATGACATTGAAACGGACAAAACTTTTTGAACAACCTAATATTATTTGAAAACGCACTTCCTTTCCATCACATTCAGCTTTTTTCAGATCAGTTACTGAATAGTACAGTGAATCTACAACTATGTACCTCATTCATCTGAGTTCTTCAAGTTATCTTTCATTTTGATGCAACATACTGTTGATTCTTCTCGTTTACTTTCTCCAACAAGGAATCCACAACTTTTTTCCTCTCTTCATAATTTCATTGTCTATCAATATCCGAGTAACTGATCTCTGTTTTTGTTCCAACATTTTCTTCTTCGAACATTGT